GGGGGGGGGGGGGGGGGGGGAGGGTGGTCGTTTTCTTTGCGCTGAGAGCCAGAGCAGGTCAGGACCTTGGGGGTTTCATACTCCTCAGGTGACGCTGCTCCCTCTGAGCTCCCCCTGTCACCTCGCGCTGTGGCTGATCTACCTAAGCATGGCTTCCTCCACCTCACACTCCACATCCCTTTGAGATGGAGATGGGGGGGTTGCTCTTTGAGGTAGTTGAGCTCCCACATTGGCTGAGGGGCTCAGCAAATTGGGGAGGAACCCGGCAGACCGAAATTCACAGTTTTTTTTTTCTGGGGGGGGGGTGCAATAAGCACACTCCCCTTCTGGCAGCGACTGGGCACATCTGGCCGAAGCCAGCAGTCAGCCTCACACACATGCACCAAAAACAGCTGGAACCACGCAGAGTGCTAGAGATTCAGGACCTAGAGGTCACGCCCCCCTCAGGCTCCTCTCATGTCTTCCGAACCTGCGACTCAGACCTCTGCTCTGCCTGAGCGTCACATTCCAACACTGACACTCACAGCCTATAACCCTGCAGCTCCGCAGGGGGACCAGCTCAAAGGAAGGACACCAAACTCCATCTATGTGCTACAAGAACTACAGGAGCAGGTTTACTTTATAGCCAGTGGGTGGGACTAGGGGTGGGATTTGTTCATACGCACCAACAGTATTCTGCCATATAAATCCAGCTTCACTGGAAGCCAGCCAGAGGGCGTGCCTGACAAAAGCACTGAGTCAGAAGGCTTTCCCGATTTATTTTACCTAATAAACACTAACAGCTTTGCTTACAGCTCAAAAACTAGAATTCAGTCTATTAAAAAATAGAAATTCAGCTAAGCTTCTCGTTGACGGCAGTCACCAATACGACATTTTAAACAGGCATACAGTTCCTTAACCACTACATTACCTGCCGCCCCAGCGTGTCACAGCTATGACATTATGCATAGGTATTAGTATGTTGCCCCTATGCAACTGATTTTGTGTTGTGCGCACTCAGGTTAGCGGTGGCTGTCGTTTTAATATCATTAGAGGAGGGGCTACAGAAGCATGGGACTTACCTCTATCCCATCACCCCACGCTGGGTCTGGATCCAGCATCAAGCAGATTCCTGCCTCTACTATCTTACTGATGGCGAAGCACAGCACAGACATTGGGGAGTCCCCATAAAATCAGAAAAAAAGCAGTCCCAATAAGAAGGAAAATCCCAGAGAAGTGGTTTTCCACACTGGTGAACGCATGGCACACATTACACAGTCTGACGGGCTCGGATAACCGGACCAGATAATAACCATTAAAAAAAAACAGCCCCACCGGCGTGTGAGCGTCGCAAAGAAACCAGGCTACCGACATAACTGAATATTTAAAGCGAAACAAACGAATTTGACCCAGTCACGTACGTCACGAAATCATGAAAAAGAACGGCGCAAACACCAACTTTAAGCACAAAAAATGTTCTATGCTTGGTTATTTGAACCGCATTAATTTGATTATATAGGGGAACTTATATTCGCGAGTTTCCTGCCTGCCAGCCTTATCTATCGATCTCTGTGAAAATACGGAGGTTAAGTGAGAAAAATATTTTTAAGCCTCTAGCTGTTTTCCTTGGTCCCGCGCTCATTCTATTTTAATGCTGTCAGCAGGTGTTATCATTAACCAAAGAGAAAAAAATAAATGAAAGCTATACCTCAGGGTTCAAAAATGATATCACCGCTGGGTCCATCAGATGAGACCGGACAGGACGGGGATCTTGGTAAGGAGGTGTAAATTTAATATGTATTTTTTATATATATTTTTCCTCTGTTTGTGTGACAGTGGTGCAGAGGTCTGGGCCAATCGGCAGGCACTGGCGGGAAGTGGCAGAACACGGTCGATCCTTCTCCGTAAGGACACCCGAGACGCCGGTCCCTCTGAAACAGAATCGATCTGTAAGGCCGATCGCGACCCTAGCTGCTACCCTTTGGATGTTTGTTATAACCCAGCAATCTGACTCAAAGCCTTAAGCTGTTTCGCTGGTATTTATATATACAAACGTGACATACTCGTGACGTAGTTCTTATGGCAAGCTCTCTAACTCTCTAATGCCACGCATAGACGTCTGGTATTGCAAGTTAGTATTAAGATCTAACTTAAGGGCAAAAATGACACGATATTACAGCCTCTGCATCGGTAACTTAACGCGGGAGGTTTTTTTTGCAAGGATAAGGCAGGAGTCCTACGAGCGCACTTCAGACTACCTGTCTTCAGGCGTAGACACTTCCCTCCAGTATAAGCATTCAATTACAAGCGTAAAAACACCTTAAAACATTGTGCGTAGATCGTAAACTATTTACCAGCTGAGCGTTCGGGTTGCCTTGATATAAATTACCCCGGACCCCCCTTAAAAACCCTCAAGCTAGGACTTTATAAAAATTACACAGACACTTCGGAAGCCGCTCCGCGTTTGGTCCCGTTAATAACAAATGTGGGGACATAGAGAGAGCGGCTGAGAAACACGGCGCTCCGCCAGGGTCCCGCTGACTGCCCGATGATTTGCAGATGGGCGGTGGGAAACATGCCGCTGGATTCCCTGCTATGTTAAGCACACCATTAAATATTTGGACTGTGTTGCACTTTATAAGACATTGAACTTCTAAAGATTTCAGAACTACATCGTTTACCCAGTACCACAACGGCTAAGCTACCGTTTTTAATCTAAATGTTTGTTTTTATTTATGTATTATTGTTTTTACCGTGATTAAGTCATAACACTCCAGTCTGAACGCAACCTAACACATCTTAGACTGAAGAGCTCTTACTGCAGCGAAAACCAGTTGCCTCTCACTTTTTCTCTTAAAGAAATGCAATAAATTTACATGCGATAAGGCTACATGCCGGTTCCTTTCATTCAGACTTCTAGTATTTACCTATGAGTTAAATCCGCCTGATTCAAGAGGGGCGATTGTTATGCAAGCACCACGTATTCAAAGATCAATCAGTGGATATAAGATCAATTAAAACCAGCTTAGGCGCTAGTAGAAGGCCAATTCATATGACAGGGAGCTCAACGTCCATTCATTAAATCACTCCCACCGCTCTCCTCCTTAAGCCGTCCTCCAGGAGAGACGGAACAGCTCAGTTCGGGTCCGCCTGGCCGCTGTATTTCGCTCTGCCATATTTAATTAAAGACACAGCGCAACCTTTGTAGGCACAGAAACCCCGGCAGCCTCGTCCGTCAGGATTCCCATCCATGGTAAACGGGGTACCGCCGCTGGGCCCAAAGCACTTGTGAAAATAAAAGCCAAAACAAGCACTTGTATTTGGAAAACTTTGGGATGTAATATAGTAAAACTCAAACACCATAGACGCTGGGAGGCTTATTTAAGTGGCATGCGGTTAAACTGGACGCTGTATTTGATGGTCAACTGGAAAGCGATTCTGGATGTCTGTACTTAACTGTGCAGGTCGTCGGATGGATTTTAGATGGATTTTAAAAATGTAGAATTGAAAACGGTTCGTGCCTGGTTTGACCATTCGCCCAAAACCACTTTCCCCGACAAGTGACTGATTTTAAACTAGCAGCCGTGCGCTTTACGACATCCCCGGTCATTACGTAGGCTTTGTATTGCATCCTCACTGTACATTGTCAAAGAAATGCTGTGATGCATGCAAAAAATGCGAATGCATTATTAGTTAAAATAACGCAGCCGCGGAAAGATGAGACGAGAAACCAGGGAATCGATTCCTTATACATCTGATCGATCGTCCCAGGTTTCTTCGCTTTCACTATAGAGTCTTGGACGTATCTCTTACAGCAATGCCGTTACCAGAACTGCGCCTGCATATAGACTGGAAATACAAAGGGCTCATTACTCTGCTCTCCTGAAACAAAAGCAGCATGTACACGGGTAATGCCTCTAACAGTAGGAGAATAAAATTGTTGTCAATTAGTAGATGGTTAGCAGACTGTGTTAGGCTTGGATGATAGGCTGGCAGAGCACATGGTTTCGTGTGCCACACTGTCTGACCGCGGGGTAATGATGTCTGCTTGGGGATGTGCTACACGTCTAAGCATCACAACTTTGCAAAAGCAGCCTCAGTAGAAATCTGGGCTTGTTTGGCACTGTCTCCGATGACTTAGCCTTACTGGCGTCCCGCGGCAGTAATCACACGATCCCAGTCTGTGAAACACAACGAACCATCACCACGGTGACAGCTCGTCCACTGAAACACTCAAAAGCCATCACTCGCTTTATCTTGATACTGACCTCGCTTGTTTCGTTTCCAGCGGTGCGACTGACAGTGACTGTACTCCATACAGTTCAGGACGACAAGGGCAAAGGAGAACAGTCGGAACTGCATCTGGGCGGCCGTATGGAAAGCGCTTCTTCCGACTTGAATTAGAAGGACCGCTGCCTGGTAGCCGCTTTCCCAATAACAATGCCGCTACCTATTCCCTCAAACGTGTCTGCGGCGGACAGCTTGCTCCGAAAAACAATTTAAAAGTTTGGAGAGGAGTCTTGATCCCAGCGTGTCACACATTAGACGAACGGCGGCGGAGTCGGCTTCGCACGTCCGGACTGTCTCAGACCAAATTATCCTTTTTGGGAGCTGCAAGAAAACACGGCGTAATAAAGGTATTGTGATAAGAGCGACATCGCACGCATGCACGGCTGCTTTCAAAGACCCCCGGAGGATCATTGTGTTAAAATCCGCCACTACAATATGAAGAGGAAACTGTACTCCGTTACACAACAGGAGCACTAATTTACTTTGTTGTTCAATTAGCCTTGTTCCCCAGGGTTAGGCTGGGAACAAACTTGCCATGGCAATAACTGCAACGCACTAAAAGCGTTGAGACGTTTTGTTTCGCAAAAGGTAATACGTGGTAATAAGTCGGAGCCTCAGCACAGTGATGCCGACATTACAATTAAACAATCTATAAAGCAGGATACATACCTGCATGAATGGTAGACATGTACACGTCAAAGAAGTTAAGTTCCTTCAGAAACCCACGGCGGGATCAGGATATTCAGCATCCCTCATATAAGAGAAGTCATCTCACAGTCTTCGATGCTCTGTCCCGATAACCTTCAATTCTTCTTAAAAACCTCTTTACTATGATTGCACCCTACCTGCGCTCCTCTTGATTTTCTAAACAAATCTCGTCCAGTATTTAAGAGGTCTCAGTTCATGACAGCCTATGGTTAAGACTGCCTTTATCTGATCTTCAGTGTGGATGTAACATCAAGCAGTGCTGAATCGTCGGCATCTGCGACCCGTTAAGGTTAAGTACCGCTACTGGTCCCAATGCATTGAAGCTTTTTCTATATAGGCGCTCCTGTCACGTGGAGACTCCGCCATCCGTGGGACTCCTTCGCCGAGTTAGGAGCCCCTTGGCCAAAGTCAGCCTTTTTTTTTTTCTTGTTAAGATTTTGAGATGACACATGCCGCCTAGTTCGCTGCATCTGTAGTACACATGAAAACCGCCTTCTGCTGGGTCCTAGCGGCCGTTCTGATACAGCAAATGTATAGTGCGCATTCCCTGGACGGAGAAGTATTACAATCTATGTAAAAAGATGAAGGGACAACACTTTACCCCCCCAATAAAAAAACAATTCAGTTGAACCCCATACTGGGTAAACGCTTGTATATGGATAGGTTTTATATCATAGTTTGCGATTTGTACATATAGAAATATATTTTCAAAAGATATTTGATCCCAGGAATTATTTACAATCCCCCGTATTAAAAAGTCGGAGTTTTCTTCATTATTTCTTCTGGGAAATAAACTTTCAAGCACTTTAATATTCTTGATGTGAAAGTGTATATACACAATGTACAATTTTACCGCTCAAATGGCACTGTAGCGTAGACATCATCCAACCGAAGGGGGCGTGGTTGTTAATGTCAGAGGTGTTTATACAAAGGTTAACTAGCAGCACCTGAATAAAGGCTCTTGTTCTTTATGGAGTATCTGGCACTAGAGCTTAAACACCAAAGCTTTCGACTAAATGGATTACATCACAGCTTACCATAGGGAAAAAAGAGGACTTAAATCAATCCATGGCAGACTAACACCAAGCCAGCGGTGTTGTCGTGATCAATGACCCGTTAGTTTGAACGAACTTACAGTATTTGTGGATTTCTTCATATCAAAATGATTTCGGTGCGTTTAAAAGAAAAAAAACACTGAGAAGTTTAAGAGAATATACCTCGTGTAGGGTTATTAATAAGCACGTATCTTTTTTGTAATTAAGAGACGGCTACCTGCCATTACGCTTCACAGAGTGCAAACCTTCTCTCCAATACAATAATGCATAGGCTACACGGTAGGGTTCATTATATTTCACTCTTGAACTGTTATTGCGAAGCAAAGGATGTCATTGCCGGCTGTTTTATGATTTATAACTTGTATTTTGTATGTTGCGCTGTAATTGGAGCTGAGCGCAAGCTGTTCTCGCCGGGCCGTCTTCATCTACCCAGGTCTCGCGCTAGAAAATGAGATGTTTGGCTTAATTGGACGTACTTCGTAAAATAAAGAATCAAAATATAAGTGAATAAATAGCCTACATGAATTATTCTGAAACACGATTCGTGGAGTTTTGTTTATTTGAAAGTAAAGGAAATTGTTAAGTGTGGGAACGCCTCGGGTTCAGATCGACCTACGACGGCGTATGTAGCGCATTACCGTTTTTAGCCACTAGGTGTGGCACTTAATCTTTTAATTTCTTCTTTTTAATGCGCGTCAACCGAGATCGGAAAGTTAATCAAAAGGACAGTCATAGGGATTTTCTGCGTTATTCTAAACAGCAGCAAACAAAGCGCACACAATTCAATGTGAACATTAAACGACCCGATAGAGCTACCAACTAGACGGGAAGGCGCTGCTCTCTACCACGTTAAGAAGCCGTCAGCTGTGACAGGTGCCATTTTCAACCAATCTAACCAGATAGGAATAGGCCGTCCATAGCAAGAGTTTAAGTTAAAGATATTTACACCGTTTGGTATTGTGAAGCATAATAATAAATGTCATTATTAAAAAGGAAGTAACATTAGTTGAAAAAACACCTTGCGTCTCTAACCAAATGACTAGTCAATTTTAAGAGAAAATTATCTAAATGTGACAAATTAAGGCTTATAAAAACTATGACAAACCGATTTGGAAACTTTAATTTGTCGAGGCAATTTATTTGGGTGAAAACAGTAGCCCAAAAGCAATTAAACCAAGGTAAAACTTTTTTCCTTTAATTCCTCGGTTCAGTCTGCCAATGTCATCGTTACAGAGAATGGAAAACACCGTATTCAAGGGCCAGTCCACACAGAAAAACCACCGCTTTATGTCATCTGGCTTGCAAACGCAAAGCCTGCATGTAGATGTGTAATTACTTTTGAGCAGGGGACCATCATTCACCTACGGAGGTGGGGGCGGGGGTAGTTTTATTCACGGACACCTCCGCTGAAGGGGCTGCCAAAGCCGGGCCGCATTCCTCTTTACTGGCATGCGTGCAGCGCAGTTAAAGCCCACAACCTTATAGGCGCTGAAAATATGGCAGGAAGAAGTGTGCCAAAACCAGCCCTGACCTTTTTCCCCCTAACTTGTTTATTTATTTATTTTTTATAGTTGTGACAGACTTCGCGGTTAAGGCCGCTGGCCACAAGTCTGGCATCGATCCGACAGTCTGAGTAAGGCGACGTCCGAAGGCGCTGTTAAGCGGATGCGACAATTAAGACTCAGGGTTTTATTTTTGTAAAAGTGTCGCGGCCAAGGATCTCCTGACCACGCTGCAGCAGCCTCCCCCAGGCCCTCCGGTACGGGGAGGGAGGTGACGTCAGCCTGCCGGGCGTCCGGCTTTTAAGGGTTTTAAGGCTGATGATGGCGCACCTCCGCCCGCCGTAAATGTGTCAGCCGGCTCCGTGACGAGCAGAGCAGGCAGGGCGCCTTTCCAGAAAGAGCAACGCTACCTCAGCGCCGTGTATCGGAAATTAAAATAATAATAATAAAAAAACCACCGTGGAAAATGTAAGATCGCAACGCGGACGGACGCACCGGCATGGCGAAAAGCGGCAGACTAAACATTCATTCACCAATACGCGGCATAAATTCGCCGCATCACAACAGCGGCGCGGCTCACCGAGCCCATGAGCCGGGGTTAGACATTAGAAGTTCATCAGATACGGGGAGGGAGACCACTGAAGCCCGGACCTACCATAGAGAGTGTCCCGAAACGAGGCAACAGTAAAAAGCTTCTGCAGGGATTTATTAAACCACAAGGCTTTAATAAATTGCAAAATACATTTTTATTTGCAGTTCCAGGACGCAGTTTGAGAGGAATTTAATCGGCGGTCCTTCTACATTTACTTAATAAAAACCAGAATCTTGGGTAGCCCAGTTTGGTGTCTGAAATATAAAAAAAGAGAAAAATATATAATTAAAACAATTGGGAAATTCAAGGTCCAACACGAGGATAACCCAGATGTCAGAAGCCATCATTTTTTTCCAAAAGGAAGATGAGGACTCTTTGGGAGCTCAAACATCAGGATAGTTGAGTAAATGTATTTATATATACACATACATTTACAGATGCCTAAATTAGGTCCTACACTTTTATTGTGCCACATTACAGATCTTTTCCCATGCAACTTCAGAGAACTAAAAAGTAACTGAACACATGAAATGACATCCACCCAAAATTATACAGTCAGAGGAGATATTTAACATTCAAAATTACCCCCCCCCCCCCCATCAGGCATCTGTAGATGGGACCTGTAACTTAAGGGTGAATCTGATGGGCCTCTGCAGGGGAGGGGTGCCAGATTCAAAGGTTGGGGGGGGGGTCATACTGTGGCATGTCCACACCGGCCCTCAGTACATCAAGGACCACCTCTGACCACCACCACCCCCCCTTAAAAACTGCATGGCCACTTTCAACATGAAAGGGACCCGTAAGACATCTGCAGTGGACCCGCGGCTCTGAGCTGGGGCCGGCTCTGGTGTTGAGTCAGGTCCTAACCAGCCGGGCCGGACCCAGCGTAATTAATGCCGACTTGTTGCATTATGGACTTTTACAGCTCCACTGACAGGCACCTTGTCATTAGCGCTTTGAAGACCAAACGGCACGGAATGATGAAAGCATTTCAGTCCGTCATGCCACTGCACTGCCTCAGAGCCGGCAGGGGGCTGTCTGAACAGCGCGTACTTCAACCATCCTCAGTGCCGTCGGATATCGGACCTCTAGACATTGCTAGCATTTTAATCATGCGGGTCGTCACGTAGCTTCCTGGGGCGGGTCCACTGTCCACCATTCCCTCCCCTCACCTCGTTTCTGTTACTGTGGCTCAGCTTCTTCTCGATGTTCACAGCCAGCATTTGGCTCCGGAAGGAGAGACTCTTGGTCTTCTCGATGACCTGCTGGTACGGCGATACCGCGTTGTTTCCCATCACCACGTGTCCCTGAAACAAGGTGGGACAGGACGGGCGAGACCCCAAACTCAGAAATCCAGGCAAACATACACAACAGCCAGTGCCACCCGAGAGTCACCCGAGAGTCACCCGAGAGCCACCCGAGAGCCACCCGAGAGCCACCCGAGAGCCACCCGAGAGCCACCCGAGAGCCACCCGCCTCTCCACGGCAGCTGATAACATTATTTGCTGTGGCTGGGTAGCACTGGGAATTAATCCCTCAGGACACTGCTGAAGGCTACTGCCCCCTAGGGACCATACTCTGGTAGGGTTTTTCAGGTATCAGAATACTGAACTGAATGCTTTTGAGACCTTTTTAATGCCACTCTTAGCATTAGTTAAAACATTAGGGCTACCCTCTATTGACACTCGGCACCTTACTGTTTACAAGACACCTTGATTACTCTTAGAACGTCTACAATCACACAATCATAAATATAATTGGGTACATGACAGATGACAGCAGCTGAGTTAACCAGGACGGCTCACTCTGGGATACTTCCAGGACAGTAGGCAAGATTCATTTACTGGCTGGGCTGCACATAACCCTAACACCCATTCTGTCCAGCTTGGACGACTTCTCGCAGACGCACAATAGGTTTCTAGGTCGTTTCCAGTTACTGGTTGCAACCATGTCTGGAAATATTAGTTTTCGAGCCATTTTGGACAGAGCCAATGTTTCCGCATCTCTCCTACTGCTCCCTTCATTGAGTGTGGTGCGAAACTCATACCACAGTACAGTCTGCTTTATATTGGAAAGTCAGTTTTCTTGCTGTAAGGTTTGCAGTCACAGGCTTTTGATATACAGCTGGCCCACTGGTGCAGTAACACAAGAAGTGTTTCACGCATCTTTTTCAAACTATGCGGACGCACTGTATGGAAGATGCACTGGAATTCATCAAATACTGAGATAGAATGCACCAATACTGAAGAAGCGCCACATAGCCATAGCGAAGACAAAGGCAGTTTTGACCCTCCTTGCCAGCAAATTTTATTAGTTAGGCGATCAGTGAAATTTATCGTGAGGGACCCCCCAGGCCAAGATTTCAAAATACCGGAATAGCATTGCTTTTGACAATCAAAAATACTGGATACTTTGGTATAATGTATAGATGGTATGAGTGTATAAAAAATTAGATACCGCCAAAGCCTGTAGAAGGGGGGGTGTAAAGATAGAGGATGTGGGTCTGAGAGGACCGCGGGGGGGGGGTTTGCATTAGGGAAATAAATTGTTTCGACATCACCTAGTTAATACTCGAAGTGTGTCTGTTCAAAGTGCAAGAGATAACATAACTAAACTAATAATTATGAAACTTAATGGGACACACGTGCTTTAGGCAACAGACAGTGGAAGACAATCCACGCCACTTGATTTTCAGATGTACATATTTTGCTCGTATTACTAAATGCACTGGGTCCATTCACCACCAGTGCATGACAGCTACGGAACGTGACACGTACATGTGAACATCCAATTATTCAAAATATGCCCATAAAGAAATCTATAAAACCATGAGGTGTCAAGAACTGCTGTCAACTCAATACGCGAAAATTGCCTCTTTCCATAGACAGGATTTGGCACATGCAGTAAAAGGTCTTGACACACAGAAATGATTAGTGTGCATCTCTGCCTATGGACATCGAATTCTGTGATTCAAAGCTTTGCATTTGCTGAAAGATACTGGGGCCGTAAAACTGAATTGCTAAAATAAAGCTGTCTTTGCTGCAGAGCGATACACTGCGTGTCACGTGTGTCCACAATTAAACAAGTACTGTGCTTAAATTGCAAAGCTGATAAAGTACTTATTACCAACAGGAATCATATTTAAGACTTTTAAATGCTATTTAAGGCCTTAATTTCCACTAAATTGATTTAATGCTTTTAATACTTTTTAATGACCTGCAGAAACCCTGCAAGGACCGCTCCTCGAGCAGACCTCTCGCAGTTGGATCTCTTTTGGCTTTTGCTCACAGCTACTCCTTCCTGCTAAAAATGGTACGTTACCTACGCACAACTGTAGAGTTTTTGGGTGTTTTTTTAAAAGGCACCGTGGGAGGTTCACAGGGTAATAACGGACTTCCATCCCACTACCAACCTCCTACCAACAGGTTATTTGCTCAATCTGTACTGGCTCTGCAAACAATTATGAACAGAACTACTTTTGAAATTTTCCCAGTGCTTCCAAAACCACAATTGTGTCTGATCGTTTTATTGGCTCACAAAAAGAGGTAACATTCTGTATCATGTTACTTTAATTTACGACGCGACAGCGACGCGGGGCTGCGCTCGGCTCGAGAGCCGCGCACCCTGCCGTCTGGGCACCTCACCAGTTTGGAGTCTATTTTTGCATCCAGCCTGGCGTTGCGGATGAGATTGACGATCCACCTCTCAGCCTCCTCGGGTGTCATGTTCAGCTTGTCCGCCAGCATGCTGTGAGGCGAGAGCGTTTATGTGAGTCGGGGGTGGGGGGAGGACAGGAGCAGAGGGGGCTGGAAATGGTGCGTGGGAACAGAGGGAGGGGCAGCATCTCCTTGCTATCACTATCAGTGTTTTTCATTTTAAATTTTAAATAGCGAGATGCTTAATTCACACAAAAGGGGCTTAAGCCATGTTTATTATACCTATAATGCTAGAAAAGTTACTCAGGAACCCAAACAATCAGCATCCATTACTGCACAGAACCACCTAGACCCTTCTAGCAAATCCCGAATCATGTTTCATTCTCTATTACACTGCTTAGTGTTCCACTGCGACAATAAAAGCTTTATTGACTATGACAATTACATTCCACTAAATCAAAGTTTACAGCGTTTAAAAAAAAAAAAAAAAAAAAACCCCATGTTAAAATAAAAAGATGATTTGCCTCCTGTAGGGATGAGATGTTTCTCATCACGTTCGCACAACACTTTGTACTTAAAAGCTTTATCACATAGCGGCGATTATGGCAGAATGGGATTAGCAGAGGACGCAAATGCAACAGTGACAGGAGTGGGCCGGCACTCGGGACAGGACAGTCAGACGAAGGGGGCAGTGCAGGTGTCCCCGCAGCAGGGGGACAGGGAGGGGGGATGTATGGCTATCAGGCTAACCTATTAGCGAGCAGCCGGGGACCAGCACCCTCAGTCCAGTGCTCCTGCTTTCATGTTGTGACAGTGCGACTCTGTCCTGTCCCTAAATTGAAGCCACATTTCCAGCCTTTGATAGTGTCGGGGGAGATGTGTCACCTCGATGCCGAGACAAGGGCAGGGTGGGTAACTCTTTGAT